ATCCTCTTGTGAAAACCACAGAGGAATTGGTTTAATTAACATTGCTTCTAAAATTCTCGCTGGCATAATACTCCGTCGATTATCTGCCGCACGTGAACGGTGCACGCGTGAGAACCAGGCTGGTTTTAGATCTGGTCGAGGTTGTATCGACCACATTTTCACTCTCCGCCAAAATCTGGAGCATCGACATCCTTTTCGTAGACCCACCATCTCTATTTTCCTGGATCTTAAAGCGGCCTTCGACTCAGTCGACCGCTCTAAACCCTGNCCTGAAGGGAGTGCCCGAGAAGTTAATTTCAATATTACGGTCGCTTTACACTAATAGCCGAAGCTGAGTCCGAGCTTACGGCACTTTTTCATTCTAGTTCACCACGGAAAGTGGTGTTCGAAAGGGTTGCCCTCTCTCTCCATTTCTATTTAACTTTGTTATAGATCTGATTATGGAAACAGGGAAAGTGGTGTTCGTCAGGGTTGCCCTCTTCCTCCTTTTCTATTTAACTTTGTTATAGATCTGATTATGGAAACAGCCCTATCCTCCTGCGAGGATAGTGGCATCGATTTACTCCCAGGTGGCAAGCTGTTTGATCTAGAGTATGCAGACGACAATGTGCTACTGAGTGAAGATTAAGGTAAGTTAAAAGCTTTGCTGGATAGTTTGAGTGCTAGTGCAGCCATGTTTAGTATGCGTTTTGCACCTTCAAAGTGTAAAATGCTACTACAAGACTGGGTTGATGCAGCACCCAGTCTCACTCTTACTGGAGAAGTAATAGGGCAGGTAGATAAGTTTTATCTGGGCAGCTATATCTCATCCGGTGGACACATCACGAATGAAGTGTCAGCTCGCATACAGAAGGTTCGGTTGGCATTTGCCAACTTGAGACATCTGTGGCACCGTTGCGACATTCGGCCGTCTGTGAAGGGTCGAGTATATGTTGTAGCAGTTCGGCCAGTTCTGCTATATGGAGCAGAAATTTGGCCATTAGTAAAACAGGACAAAGATAGAGTGTCGGTGTTTGAACAGCGCTGTCTACGTAGCATTGCACGAACCTGGTGGGGCAGCCGGACGAGCAATGCTGAGGTCAGGCAAAAAGTTTTAGGCAACCGCGGTCGCCCACTGGAGCAAGTGGTCGACCTCCATAGATTACGTTGGTTGGGGCATGTGTTACACATGTATCCAAATAGGCTGCCACGGCGAGCGATGTTTGTCGAGGCGGGTAGTGGGTGGAAGAAAGCCCAAGGTGGTCAAGCTAAGATCTGGCATGAGGGTATGAAAACCCTAACCGGGAGTTTAGGTCACACAGGTCCCATTAGGCTCCCTGGATGGGGACCTCAGGATGGTCGTACCCGATGGTTAGAGACACTGAATGATATGGCTGGGTGTTGTAAACAGTGGCGTTCATGCATTTTCTCAATCTCTCTGTACCATTAATCCACTGAACTTTTCAATTTTCTCTTCGATCCTACTTTCAACCTTTCCTATCTTTCTCCTAATGTTCATCCAAATGGGCAGCCGAAAGATAGCAACTAAAACGGGTGCACTATAGTGCATGGTTAATGGTGCAAACCGAAACTGAAACACCTAAGTGTGCAATAAAAAAATACAAATCTACGGTCAAATTTCAGGAAGGGGGATGCGTTTATAAAAAGGCTGCCATGGGAGGACTGTCAGGTTTCCCAGGCCAGAGGTGAAATTTCTTGGGGAACGTACAGCAGAAGCAGTNATAGTCGCCAGGACCCACTCCTAACTAATGGGAACCGTTAACCTAAACTTCGGGACTTGGAGCGGCGAACCACATGACTCTCCACTAGCAGTTTTTTCGCTGAATGGAGACAACATTCAACTCCAAACTTCTTACAGTAGGTAATTAAAAATATATTGTTTGAACTCTATTCAAACTAGTATTATTTACTGTTCTTTGGTATTATCTTCTTTTTCATTTTTCTTTTTACTTTATTTTATCGAACACATAATGATACAATTTCTGGGAAGAGGGAAACGGCCAATCAAAGTGATGTCATTAAACACAAAAGTAAGTCAGGCAGTGGTGGTGGAATTCGAACACATCCTCCGAGATGATAACTTGGTGACGTTACTGCCGGGCCACCACCGCCCATTAAAATCTTCCGTTGTCGTTTAATAAATCGCGCCTTATTTGCAGCCGCTCCAACAGAGTGAAGAAAATCACGTGGAGGTCAGCAGATGCTGTGGAGACGAAACATGAAAAAGTGCACGGCGATAAGATGTCTACCGTAGTCCGGGGAGGGACTTGAAACATTTGAACCGGTTGGTTGGAAGCATTGAAGGATATAATAGCGAACCGATAGTAAGGAGTTTCCCGCTATTTCTTATCAGGCCAGAATGCTTGAAAATTTTGCACTTATAGTGCGAACGCATAATGTGTGTTAATGGTATTCTAATTTCCTTGACACTCCAACAAAATAGATCCAATTCCTAAACACCTTCCACATACTTGCTCTGCATTGCGAGCTTGACAAAGATTAAAAAAAATCCGCTTAACCGTGTTCGGTAGATGATGATTGACAGTCTTTTAGAGGATCGGCTGAAGAGATTGATCAGTTCGTTCTCACTCCGAAAAATGCTTTCGCGAATTTAATATCTTGAAGCACTTCCCAGGGAACTGCTATTTACTGCAAGGGTGTTTCCATTAAATTGCAAGGGCTGAAAGTCAATATACACGACAGCACGGTTAACAAACTGGGAGCAATCAGCTTATTCATGGTAGCTGGAAAACTCACAAGATGAGCTATATGAGCTGCATCCAGCACTTTCTGGTAGGGACTGTCACCGGTTCGATTTCAGTAATAGGGCATATTATGTATCCAGCACGGCGAACCACATTTCAAAGTCGTATGATGCAACTGACTATACATCTGTCTCAATGGAATGGGGTTTTCACACAGCCCCACCGTCTTGAATGCAAGGCATGAACATGGATAGGAATGGCCGAACGCCTGTAAATCAGCAGCAGCTTGATTATATGGCATCCATCCCAAATGCTTGTACACGTTGAGTGACCATCACATAGATTTCATGGTCAGGTATAATCATCGGTTAATCTAGTCATTCACACCGGTAGGAAATACTAGGTAAGCACTACAAAGCGAAATACGTGCATATGCTTGTTCATCTGCAAATGACGTTGTTATGCGGTGTCCAGCTTACGTTCACCGGCTAATGTCTGCAGAGATGGTTACATGTGACCGTGAGGTTGATTGCTTTTGCTGCTCATAAAACTGGAAATCATAATGAGGACACGGATGTTATGTGAGTCTCTGCTGCAATGGTAGACAAATTTGTCCCGAAAATTGTAGTCAAAATGGATGTCATTTCAGGATGAAGTGAATATCAAGTAAATATTTAGCTGAAAATTATCTATGAAAATAAATCAATGTTGATCTCGTTTTATAGATGATTAGGTTACCGTAACTTATGAGTGCCGTAGAAAAATATGCCTAATTTTTATCCACTGACAATACGGTTGTGTATTCTCCCGGAAGGAGATTGCGACCAAACGCTATCGGGGAGCATTCAAAGAACAGACAGAACTTACTTGCGTATTCCGTACATCCAGTACACGTTTGGCGAAATTTCGGTGAACGACCTCTTCCTTCAGCTCAACGCACAAGTTGATATCCTCAAACATTAGGGTTGATCGGAAGTTTTCGTCAGGGAAGTACGGGTGACACTTCATAGTTCCTTTCTCGAATATTCGATTCAACATTACTATGGCTGGCGATCGACGTTCCCATACCATAAGCCAAAAGTGTGACGCTGTCTGTTGCATAGGACCTTGGGTTAATATATACTTTCGCGAAGGGGCAACGGGAACACTGACATAGCTAGCGTTTATGTAATCCCCGTCAGTACCGGAATCAAGAAGAACTCGGGTTGAATCATCTGAAATTTCACAATGAGAAAATCGATTGAAACTAACATGGATTAATATCACGATATCTGTTTTTCCATCGATTACGTATGTCTCGTGCTGCATCACAAGTTACCTTGTTGTTAATGATTGTAGAACGATTCTTTAGACGCTAAACAACACTCGATAAAAAACAACCTCAATTACTTCATAGACCACATTCCATAATTTATTTGAATCGAAAAAAGAAAGAAGTGCTTTTATATCACAAGAATCACTGTCCGATGGGTAAAGGTCGTCATTTGGAGGCAAGTATGTCGTCATCGTATTACAATATCAGGTTGTGCCACTTTTTTGAGGAGGCTGAACACCAGAAATGAACGGAACCAGTGGCATCATAAAGCTATTCAGCTTAGCTGAAAATATCGAGCATATGGGAAAGTGTACTTGGTAGATTCCTGACGCGTTTATTTCTGTGGTTCTCTGCTTGAATTCGCGCCGGGATTTTCAGTTCAGGTCAGGTCAGTTCAGTTCAGTTTGCACAGGACGGAAAAGGCTTTCGCCAACCAAACGTCCAGATTCTTGCTTCGGTAGGAAGGTTTCTTCTCCCAAAGCTTCAAAAATCGTTTCAGTCGCTGTCTTGCAACTGTTTTGCGGCAGTAAACTGGTTCCGGTACGATATCTGTAAGGGAGATTAATTAGAAAACAAATAGCATGTCAACCCAATCTCAGACCCTGCTTCTACACTACCTCTGGGTATATTTGGGTCCAAACCCTGTCTAACTGCCTCTTGAAGTCGACTGCACTCGCACAATCCATCAGGTGAGGTTCCATCTTTCAACCACTCGGTTCGTGTAGAAGTTAAAACGCAAACCGATGCGAGCCCTTGGCTCAGTTCAGTTCAGTTCAGTTCAGTTCAGTTTGCACAGAACAGCTTTAAGCTGTGTCCCCTGGTGGCCTCTACGGGCGCTCGAGTGAACAAACTTTCGGCGCTTACGGCGGTGAAACCTTTCATTATCTTAAACGTTTCTATGAGGTCACCCCTGAGGCG